GGCTTTGGGGGGTTTTGCGGGTCACTGGGTGGGCGTGCCGCGGCCGGCGGTCCACTGGCTCGGCGTGCCGCGGGCCGGCGGTCCACCCAGAGCCCGCTTTGGCGGGCTCTCCAAGAATGGAAAAAAGTTTCGGGTATAGGGGCTTGCAAGAACCCGCCTTGGCGGGTTCTCCAAGAAAGGCTAGTCTCCCTTCCATAAAAAGGCAAAAAATATCAATGACTAAAAATAAGGACGTAGTTCAAAATTTTAATTTATTGAGATGTATTTGGGCAAGGATCAAATGTTCTACTGTATGTGGTGAAGTGTATCGTATTTGGAAGTGATTATTTTCAAATGTAGGGAGAGTCTCTTGCAATTAAAATAATATTTATAATGAGACGATATTAATAAAAAATTATGATTGACACGTGTCTAGTGAGCAGGGTGGGCAGATATCTAGAGCTAATGTCATTCACTCCAAGGTCTTGAGTGGCACTGCTCTTTCATTTATAATGAGGGATAATAAATATGGTTGCTTTGTATGTTCCTATTGCCAAGATATCTAGAGCAAATGTAATTTTCGCGCGATTTGCTGCGGAGTATTGTTTTGGCGTTTGCAAAGTGCCCATACATTTTGAGGGAGTTTTTAGAGAGGGTGGTTTATTACTGAGATTGCCATCGTTTGTTTTTTTAAATGTGGGGAATATCTGCAATATTTCTTTGTTTTATGCTTCCTTAAGAAGTAACTATTTTTCTTCACGAAGGCATTTTTAATTTTTTAATTTGATGAGTGATCTTTAGGAGGGCTTATTACTGTACGGATTAAAAGTCGGTGAATGATCAAAGCCTCAATCTATAAATGAATTTTGCCAAATAACTGTATTTGAGACGTTGTAAATGAGCAATTGATTGACATGTCTCTAGTGAGCCAAGTGCCCAGATATGTGGACCTAAGGTCATTCACTGCAAGGGAGTGAGTAACATTGTTTCCTCATGTAAAATGAGCAATAATAAATGTAAAGGCTTTGTCTGTGCCAAGTGCCCACATATCTGGACCTAATGTCAATCACTGCATGGGCCCGAATAGCATTGTTTCCTTATTCATAATGAGCAATAAGAGATATAATGGCTTTGACTGTGCCAAGTGCCTACATATCTGGACCAAATATAATTAAGTGCGATTCGCTGTTGAACATTGCTTCGTTCTTTTCCGAGTGCCTTTGCATTTTGAGAGAGTTTTTAGAGAGGGTGGTTTATTGCTGAAAATGCCTTGATTTTTCTCTTTTTTAAATTTAGGGAATATTGGCAATATTTCTTTGTTTTATG